TGACTACTGACTATACCTCAGTAAATAAATCTGAACTCATAAAAGTGTATAATAGGTACCTATATTAAAGAAAACTCCAGGCCTTGAAGATGGAAAAACAGTTAATAGTACCACGATGTATCTTTAATAGTGGTCTATAGTTTACGAAGCTGATGTAGAGGTGTAACTGTGTAAGTGTTACACGTAGGTTATTTAGAATCAGATAGTTCAATAGATTTGTTTGATTAGGTCTTAGTTTATTATTCAAAATTCAAATATGTTCTTTGTTCTTTTTCCAACAAGAATTTTCTTGTATGCGTTGGCGTATAACTAGGTGTGAATTGAAAGACTTAAGTCTTATAGAAATAAGGTACAATGCAAATTGTTTTCAATTATTATTTGTGTACTAATTACTTTTTAATATAATCTTTTTTTTTTTTAATTGGATAACCCGCGGCAACGTAGCCCATTGGGTGTGGGGAGGGAACTGTGGGGTTTTAGGTTGGGTAGGTTGGTACACGTGTGTGTTGTGTTTTGGCAGAATTTCTAATGGAGCACCTGTAGGTTTCTGCCATGCCCCGGGTGGGGGATGGCGGCACTTGTTCTCCGGACACCATGACTTGCCCGAAGAAAAATGCCACCCGCGGCCGAGGTATCAAACCAGCGTCGGCTGCGTCGCAGACGACGCCTTAGTCCGCTAGGCCACTCCACCCCCCTTAATATAATCTATATATCTTTTAAGATATATATGGGGTTCTATTAAATTTAACATTTATAATATTACTAACTTACCACGTGCACTTCATTCTCCGTCGTCTCAATAATCAATATCATTAAACTTTTTTCAATTCGTTACCTACTTAATATTCGGTGTAATCACTAATCGCCAATTGTTTTCAAAACTTAAAATGTCCACCGGTCATCTTGAATCTCAAAATACTTGTGCAAGAGCAATTTTAAAATGCTTGTTTTGGAAAATGCTTTATTATTACACACTTACATGGTGGTACGAAGGTACCAAGAAAATTTCAAACCTCAACCTCAAGCTATCATTGTTTAGACTCTACTTTGATCAGTCAGTGAGTCAGTCAGGCTCAGAACACGTTTGATTATAATTATTTCTCAGCTAGTCCAAGGGGCCCCGAGTCATAGAATAAATACATATTACATTTGTTTGACTTGCTAGACACTCTAGCATGGTTTTAAAATTTATATTTCTTTACACATACAAAAAAGTACTGCACATACGCTGGGCGATCGTATCATTGCCGACTTTCATGGACCATGGGAGATTTCTAAACATTAAAACTCGACTTTTAAACTTTCCCTCCTTCTAAACGAGACCGCCAAAGAGCCAGGTATTATCACAAATTCTTATCACCAAATCACCTCCGACTACCAACCGATCACCATCATTATAAGTGCGACTTTTATAATTCGACTGTGTCCCCGAAATCGGTACTCACTTACAACTAACACTAGGAGGGTCCGGGGGTCTCCCCCGCCTAGACCGGAGGGCTAGTAATAATATAATATATTATAATATCATACCCGTTATTGAAGTAAAAATACCCGATGTCGGCTTGTCAGTCGTCAGTTGTTGACTTATGGCCGTCGGCTTTTCGCTTTATTGATTTATCAGTCATCGGCTCACCGTCCCTAAATCACCAATAATTTATCATTGAATTCAAATAAATCACATAGATTACTGTGACTGTTGAATCTTGAGTGACCTCGACCAGCGAAGCTACTTTCGCCGGTTTTATTTTTATTATTATTTGAGCAACAAATATACAGCTTGATAGACAAAAGTGTACTGCAGTCTGCAGGTTAGATTAGCCATCAGGAAATTTAAAGGTACCTATGCCCAGTGGCCCCAGAGCCGTATTTAGAAATTCTCCATCCAGGTGCCAAAAAAAAATTGATTAGTTTCAAAAAACAATTATTATAATATGAACTTCTATCTTAAAAAATTGAGGGTTAAAATATTTAAATTTTCTTCCTCGGCTGTGACTAGGAAAATTCTTTAACTATATAATCAGAATAAAATTGACGGTAGAGGTTAGACCAATTTAAACGTTTAATACGGCTATGTATAACCATAGACCTATAAACTAATGGATAGCGCTTAGAGAGAGAGGTCAGGGTTACGATATACAGTAGGTATTAGTTTCATTAGGGCTCTTTAATATTATATTAGAGCCTTAGTTTCATACGTCTATGATTCCACCCATTATGTTTTTTCTCTCTTTCTCTTATATGATTGTCCACCAAGATTCTCCCAATAGGTATGTTCTTTCTCACTCACTCTATATTGGCGCCACTCATTGATGGCTGGGTGGTGAGTGAGGTGCAGTCCATTAGTTTATAGGTTTATGTGTATAACCATAGAGTATAAATTCTATAAATTATAGGTATACCTATAGTACTTATAAAATTACAACATATAATAATATAATATTAATTGTAGGAAATAAGTCAGTGAAGTTATTAGATAGAGGATTAATTCAAAAAAATGTTGTAGCTGTAGGTACCTATAGGTATATCGTATACATATATAGGTAAAGATCGTGCTGGAAGAAAATATTAATACCCAAAAGTTAACACATCCATTACATAAATTCATTACGAAAGTAGGTAGTGACTTACTGACTTCTTACTAAAAGATACTGTTAGGTACTGTATAAAGTATACTGATCGAATACAAACAAATCTCGGTACTTACAAAAGGAGTTACTGTACTTAGTCACTGCATAATGCATACCTAGTCTTGGTGACTCCATGACCTATTTGTATTCCCTTTAATGTATTTTTTTCTTAAGTCTTAACGAACACAAAATGTAATATATAAATTATAAATTTTGTTTTTTTAAAACTGACCTCGGAAGACGAAAATAGATATTAAAGAAGTTATACCCTAAGGCTTATAGATATAAACGAGATTAAAACGCTATGAATAATTTTTTTTATGGAAATTACTAGCAAATTTTATAATCTAATAAAAATGTATTTTAAACTTTTAAAACAATATTTTTTGTTTGTAGACCTTGCCAATAAAGTATAGTCTGCGCGCGTATATTCTCAAAGGTCAAAACTACGTACTGTATAGCTACAGACGCCTTTTCCGGTTTTTCAAAATGTATTATCGGCAATCGCCTACTTTAGTTTTCTTCGTTTTGAAATTCTTTTTGTTCAAATTTATAATAATAATATAACCATTATAATTTCAGAATTAGGTCAGCAGAGCGGGACGATAGTGTTCAACAGACACACCCGTGATCTCTGCAGTATCATTATTCATAAACGATGATTGGGTTTGTACTTCTACCCGCACTCAAAATTCCTAGATTCATCCAAGGCTGGGCAAGTTAATGTTTTTTTTTAACTCGTTAAGTTAAGTTATTTAAAATAATTAAGTTAAGTTAAGTTAAAAGTTACTCGTATTTTTTATCGTTAACTCGTTAAGTTAAAAGTTAACTTTGAAAAAAAAGTAACTTAACTTAGTGTAAAGTTAAAATGGTTTATTAGATAGTTTTTCTTTATGTCTAAGAAAATTACTGGGGAAATTTAAAATGATACATCAAAGTAAAAACACATTAAAAAATTTACATTATTCTTCGGAAGAAAATTAACTTAATTTAGATATTTTTGAAATGAAATTAACTTGAAGTTAATCTTGAAAAAAAGCAACTTATTAAGTTAAAAGTTAATTTGAAAAAAAAAGTAACGAGTTAATTAACTTAACGTTTTAACTTAATTTTAATTTTTAACTCGTTAATGCCCAGCCTTGGATTCATCAAACTCCAAGTTAACACCAAGTTCTTCACTCCAAATAACCATCTTCACTCTCTTTTAATGTTAATTCTTGAGTACACACCGTAGTCATAACTTGCGAAAGACCAATATTAATAATATAATAAAACTGGGGAGTGTACAAAATTGGTGTTCTCCTTTTTATTAATTGTGTATTTCTTTTGTATTAGTAGGAAGTAATCTAATTGTTTATTTAATACTTGGTTTTCTTTTTGAGTACTTCACATTTACTTTAGACTAAGGCACATATCTGTGTGTGTGTGAGTGTAGTGTATACTATACATCTGGTGTGTAAGCTGTGATAGTGGTAAGAGAAATAATGACAAGGTGTACTCGAACCTAGGACCCAAAAGTAAGTCTCAACTCTCAAGCTAAGTACACCAGAATATTAACAAACCATGTATTATGTATAATGTATTCAGACGTATATTTATCATAACAAAATATATTTGAAATGTTCATACATAAAAAAAATAGTTCAAGTATAATATTTTTTATTTCCAACTATGTACATGTATAAAAGAGAACTTAGTTCAGATTTTATTTTAAAATATTTAGTATAAAATTAAAATAAATATATTATTTAATCAATAAAATCTAGTCTATATACACGAAAATTTTACATAACTGATTCCATTTGTTAAAACTATTGTATTATTTTAAATAATTTGGGTTTTGATTTTTTAGTAGCAACCAAAACCTAGGTTATTTACATCAAATCTACATGAGTTTATTTTTTTTTATTTAAACAAGTGATCAAATAAAAAAAACTAATTCACTCAACATATTTCCAGAGTTATTAAAAAAAAACGACATTTCCATTATTTGTTAAAATACATTTTTAGCAATAAGGTTTAAAAATTAAACCAAATCAATGTTAAGAAATGAAAATAAAAAAAATGTTAAAATTAGCCTTAATTTTGTAATTATACATTTTTTAATATCCCATCAGAATAATATAAGCTTTTTATTTGGTAAAATATATATCTTAATAGATATAATGTATTGTTTTCAATAACGAAACATTATTTTGCTTTCTTCAATTTGAATCAGTCATACAAGAAAGATTTTAAAAATCTTAATATGTCATACCGTATATACAAATAAAATATAACAATGTATATTTAAAATTTAGTTATTCAATATTGTTAAAATAGCTGAAAAAAATTTGTATTGACCTTAGCATCAATAGCATTCTATAATGTATACTATTTATCCATTTCCAAAGCTGCAAACTGTTCTTCGTCCATTTCGGTCACCATTAAATTACCATCAGGTAATTGCAATACAACCCTGCGCGGACCGCCTATTTAAAAAAAAAAAAATTATTAGTCGAATAAATAAATTTCTAAATACAAAAGAATAAGACATACCTCCTGGAGTTGGCTCTCCAGCATCAACAATTTGCGCTACTAATTGATCTGGATCTTCTTGCATAACTTGAGGTTCTTGTGTGAAATTTTCATTTGTTTGTATAACAACTTGGCCTCCCTGTTCTGTTGCTGATACAGGTACATATTGACCAGTTTCATTATCTTTCATATACATATTTCCAGCATCATCAGTTACCAAGTTTCCCAAGTCAAGCTAAGATAAATAAATTATTATAGTATAAAACATGAGATATGTATTTAATATAATACACCAGTAACATTGTTTTAATCATCAGTACCAAATTATTAACTTTCACAACAGTATTTTTTTATGTATTTGTACATACCTGATGAGGCATTAATTGACCAACGGTGTTGCCAAAATCATCCAATGCTATCATCCCTTCTTGATTTTGGTTGGTTTGCATCATACTAGCATTATCATCAGCAAGGTATACACACTGTTGCCCATCGCCTTCATTACCAGCTAATAAAACTGTACCTCCACTAGCAGCTAACTGTGCAGCGGAAACCTAAAAAACAGTATTTTATAATATCAGAAAATTGTGTTTTATTATAAATTCATAAGTATGAATTTAAATTCATCTAATATTTTTACCTGATACAGCATGCCATCGTCACCTGTTAAAGTAATCATACTATCAGTATCATCAGCAGATAATATCAAACGACCAGATTCATCTGTCAGTATAGCCTGCTGTCCTGGGAAAGGTTGAGTAATTTGTTGTTCATGATGTTGTTGTTGATGTTGATGTTGTTGTATTTGTTGTTGTTGTTTCTGTTGTATTTTTCGAGCTGGAACGTTTAGAGAACTATGGGATTTTGAAATTCCGGAGCTCACATGCAGTGATTTATTACTAAAATAAATAGATTTCAATATATATTTGATTTTACCTACCAATTTAACTAAGAGACTATATTCATGAATACATTTTAAACACACCTGTTATTATTAGGTCTTGAATTAGTTTTTTTCATGCGTAAGCCAGAGTTTGAAGCAGCTGGAATGTCTTTATAATTAACAAAACTTTGTCTGGCTTGATGATGTTGCATCTGAGGTGTACGATTTATATTCACTTTTTCTGGCTCAACATAAGACATCATAGGATTTTGATTTCCTAAATGTCCAGTTCCAGGTTCCAACTAAAAAAAATAATCATTTATTAATTTATTCAATTTTTTTTTTTTTATTTGCATACTTTGATTATTGTTGGTAATGAAGAATTGTCATGTTGTCTACCCATTAAAGATGATTCATCAATAGTTATCATTGTTTTAGGACTTGATGGTGGAGTAGGCTCTGGCGTTTTTTCGCCTTCAGCTTTCATTAATCTTTTTCCGGTTGTTGGACAAAGTGTTAATGGTCTATTTGGACTATTAGGTGGAATTGAAACGTCTGAAATGATTAATAAAATATATATTTTGACTGTAAGTGTCATGACAAACTTTTGATGACAAACGTCATGAGTATCCTTTACATAAAAGCCGATTCTCTATTGCGGCTAATAACCGCTGCTGTCGTGACCAAAATGTTGCGTTTTCTAAAACTATTATTTACTAAAAAATAATGTAAGAACAATAGCTATAATTTCTGAACCAAGATGTAAGTCATCAAAAATCTGTCAAAATGATATGAAAAACTTGTTTCAAACGAAAATCTAAAAATTAAGAACCTTCTGATGGGAAATGGTCCGACAGGCCGCCGTCATCAGTGTCGGATGCCGTGTCTTCCCAAAATTCTAACTGCTCTAGGGTGTTATAAGCGAAAGCACCTGGAAAATATTGGCCATGAACAGCAGCGATTAATTTCGCATAAACTTATAATTTGAGACACCCACTATTTACAATAGCTTTTGTTTTTATAAAATATGAATGACTGTTCTCTAAATTAAATGAATATTAATTAATATTTATAATGTTTAATAATAATTAACATATGAACAATACATCTTGTTAAAAATTAAAATATTAAAATATAATTAATTCAAATAATTTAAATTAAAGTTTAGTGTAATCAAATATAAATAAATATATACAACATAGGTATTATGCACTATTTAAATTATGGCCATAGATACCGGCGTTACACATGTTTATGGACAAAAAAAATCATAGCTGTATTTTCGACAGATCTGTAACCTTAATCACAATCTTTAGGGAATTATTTTGAGAAACATCATCTTATTCTCAATTTTAATAATAAAGAAACATGTGGTTAGTTATAATAATAATTTTCCTTGGTACCTATGAAATTAAATAGTATAAAATATCAAAAATTATAGTACATTATTATACAAAATAATGAATACACAAATAAAAACAAAAGCAGTTACTTTTTTTTTTTTTAGGTAACCAAATCAGTAAATAAAAATAATAACCATTTTATTTATAGGAAAATAATTGTGTCATTTACTAAAAACAATAATTACCTTGTTGGACTGCTCTGTTATTTACAGTACGTCTAGGAACAAATGTCATATTACTATGATGAGGTTTCATCCCTGGAGAACCTTGGTGTTTCTAGAAAAAAAAACAAGAATTAAAATATAAATATTTATGAAATCACATTTAACAGGTAAAATGATAAATTTGTAATTTATACCTGCAGCAAAGATTTTTCATACTCTGGATTAGCAGCTGCAACTTTGTGTAAAAATGGTCTAGGCTTTACAGCAGCTTGGATTTTTGTGGGTGGAACAAATGGTCTAAGGAACACACAGTATAAATTTACAATATTTTTTATAATAAATAATAATAATAAATCACATACTTCTTAGCATAGGATTTCATTAAAGGAGATGATTGGTGTACAGTTTCTCTTGCTTTCGTTAGGTCAAGGGTTTTCTTTGGAGGCTGCAGAAGTTGAGCTCCGTCAGCATAAATTACTTTCCCTTTTTTTGGATCATCCCTATTCTTCATCATCAACATCATACTCTGAGTCTTATCAGTTAAGTTTAATCTAGTATATCCTTCATTGGTAGAATATATATATATACCAGATAGTGGAACTTGATTAGTTTCTAATTTCACAAAGCCCTTAGATGCTGCTAAGGTTACCTAAAATTAAAATAATATTACATTTATAACAATTGAAAATAAATTTACTGTATTAAAAAATATATTACTTGAGTTAAATGTGGTGAAATTTGTAATAAGCCCACTTCAGTATTTCTATGAAAATTATTGAAATGAGCCAGATGAGTTTTAATTTTTTTAAGCCGTTCTTCTCGTTTTAACACAGGAAATACAGAAGGTCTTGTGATATTTCTTGAAACATTATACTTTATGCGTTCCTCCATTGTCAGTTGACCTTTAATTAATTAAAATTAGTATGTTATTTATTCATAAGTAAGAAATATTGGAATTTATAACTCTCAAAGAGGTAAGATAGTATAGTTTACTTTAGAATAACTATTGTTTTTCTATGCGTAAATTGTATTAGAGCAATTCTTATTTTAATAAAAGCTATTGGGGTAAATTATATTAACTATTTAAATAATGTTATTCTTCTTATCTTGTCCAGCCTGTATAAATGCTTATCACATTCATTTTTTGCTAAATTGATTATGCTAAGCATTGCATTCATTATATTTTCGGGTAAACATGTCACTGAGTTTAGAGGGCATTATGGTATGTATTGTTCTATTTGTTCGGTTTAACAGTTGCATTCTGCAGACTCTGTATTGTACCCCCACTCTTTTTCATTTCAGGTAACAAAAAATGCATGGTTACAGCATAGATATTAGAAACATGGATGGGACTAGGGCACTATAGATACTAGTATGCTACGCCGCCATATTGCGACTAATAATGTTATGTAAATATGAATTTTTCCCCCTTTCCCTTAATAATATCATTTTATTATTGATAAAGAGTCGCAAAATGGTGGCATAGGCATAGCATACTCATTATATGTAGAGCCTTAATGGGACATGCTATGCATTTAAATATGATCAAAGAGTATAAAAATTAGCAAAATGGTTACATGTAGTTAAGGTGTGGTATTACCATCGTGATAAGTGATAACAACATTTTTTGAAATGGAACAAAAATACAAAACATTTATATACCATTTTAGTTTGTAGTTAGTAATAATAACCAAAAAAATCACAAATTAGAAGGTAATAACAATAGTAAAAATAAATAATATTGAATTGAATAATTTAAGTCAATGGATATTAGGATTGGAAGAAAATGAATACACCCGGAATACACCAATTATATAAAAATTATATAAATAAACTGTAAATTAGTAATTAATCAGTGACAGAGTTATGATTTTTCATGAGAAGTAAATTGATATATTATTTAAATAAAAAAAAAACTTAAATTATAAATTATACAAAAATGTAGTAAATGGTCTACATATGTAATAAATATTAATGAATGAAACTTACTTCTAGAAATAATTTTTCCATAATTTGTGATTGGTTCTTCATTTTCACTAATTGACGCATTCGATTTATGCAATGATGGATCATCCCAGTCTTCATCCTCAGAATCTGGATGAAAATATTTTTTCTTTAACACTGGAGTGTCTTCATCTTCCTCCTCTTCTTCCAACATAATGTAATCACGTTTTAGAATGTTTGGTTGAGATGGTTTACTTTCAGTAACTTCTTCAGTGGCTTTCATTGTACCACACCAATATTTAACTTGGTCCATTGCTTTTTGTTTACTGCTACGGACTGGCCTCCTTTAACATGTATATAAAAATAAATTAAAAACAGTGTAAAAAAAAAAGCATAATTATTATTATTTAAAATCCAGAACCTAAATAAGAATTTTTTTATTTAGTACTAAAAAAAAAATTAATAAATGTAGAACTTATTTTTAATACATTTTTACATTTTATTTTAAAATTCTTTGGAGCGAAATATTTAAAAGCTTTAAATACTTATATCAGCAGTTACAAAAATATACTCGGTTTAGCCTCAGAAGGAGGCATGCCAACCAAGTAATCAATTTTATAATAAAAGACGTTTTATTTTCAAATAAAAATAAATCTGATTTCAATAACTTTATATAATAAATAAAATGAAGGTTATAATTATATTTATTATATTACAATTTAACTATCCATTATACATATGTTTAATAACTATATGCATTAATTCCACATTTATTTAAAGAAATACTATATAAATGGCGGGTATCATATTTATTAATTTAATAGTACACTAAAATGAATGGACCTAAAATTCATAGGTTACTATATCATGTTTGAGGGAGTATTAGCACTATTAATTACTTAAATATAAAAACATTTAATCTTACCCTGCTATTCCAATTTGTTCAACTTGCGCTTGTGGGGATACTTTAGGTTTAACAACCCCTATATTTTGGATCTGTTCAATCTTCCGTGGGCGTCCGGGTGCCCTCTTCCCAGGGGTAGAAGCGGTACCATTTTTAACTAATGAATCCTCATATTGTTTTATAAGGTGGGAACAAGCAGCCATATTATCTGCTGGCTCCCAAGTATTCTGTTCGGGGGGATAACCTTCCCATTTTAATAAATATTCAAATTGTCTTTTTTTTTGATTAAAACGACGTGCAACAACTCGTTCAACCACAAACTCTTGACCTGAAGGAAATTCCCCACTAGGTTTCATAACTGCTGGTGGCAGTTCTTCCAAACTGCCATTCGAAGAACTTGGTAATGTGTCAAGTTTGATCATCTAAGATCAGACAAAGTTATCAGAACACATATTAAATAAAATATAATTTACAATATGAAAAAAAGTATGCCAACCTTATCGGGAATAGTTTTAGCTAACTCATCATAAGTATGGATAGTCTTGGCAGCTTCTATCCAACAGTTTTTTACACTTTCAGGTAAGACACACCACATTTTATATACTTTCCATGCCTCTTCATTTTCTGCTAAGAAATAATGAAAAAGCAATTAAATTATCTTTATAATGAGACTAATGTACGTACCTATTTGTTTAATTTGAGAATTTTTCCATAGTAAAAATCCAAGAATCTGCGGTTTGCTATCCTAAAATTAAATATTTTAATTAAAATCAAATGTTATAAAATAATAAAACTGAAGATGGTTAATATTCATTTTACTAAAGGATCATTATTTTGTAATTTTTATAGATAAAAATTTAGTTTAAATACTAAAAATTAGAACATTATAGATACATTTCTTTAAAAACTATAATTTGTATTAATATAACACAATAGTACGGAATATAAAGTTTGCTAACAGTAAAACAAGAAAAAATTGAAATATTTTAGATAAGTACCGAGGTATTTTGGTCTCGAAATGCGGATACTTTTTTACATTCTCCATCTTTATGTTCTTGAAATTCTTCTACAAAATGAAATCCTATATGGCATAAACCACAGACCAATACATCTACATTGGTAAGCTCTTGTTTGATAGCTATCAATAAATAACAAAAATCAATTAGTACAAATTAAATATTGTTAAAATAAAAAATTACCACTTCCGTCAGTTTCCGCTTCATCGACTTTTGTAACTAATGCTTCATCTACTTCTGTACTCATTATTGCTGAATATATTTTCACATAGAAACCAAAATGCTATAAAATTTGAAAGAATTTACATTAAAAAGCGAGTACATCAATACAAATATACTTTAATATAGTTACATTTTAGTATTTAAAAATTGCTTTTTTTTATTTATATAATAAACCTAAAATTAAAACTAATAATAGATTAATAGATACCTAATACACTAAAGTTAAAATTATCTATAAAATATCTAATAATATTAACCTAGGTATAAACATGTATTTAAAATATGTAAAAAAAATTTTTTAAGACGATTTTATACATTTCAAAACATAATTAACTATACCAAAATTGCGAAATATCAAGAAATTACCCACATAGTGCCCATCAGTCATCAGAAGTTTGGTTAATCATAAAAATCTACACAAATTGAATTTGTTAACTACTGTAACTACTAATTAGGGATATGTAATGCTTTATTTTCAATAAATAAATAAAATGAGAGGTAAAAACACTAAAATATAACAATTTTGTATACAAACAGATATAATTTGGTAAATTTTAAGTAAACATTTGATAATTGCTATAAAGAGCATTTCAAATACATACATAATAAAATGTATGAATTTATGAACACAACTAATACGCAATAATAAAAGATACAAAGTATTTACAAGAGAAAATTGTACAAATTGTTTTCAATTTCCATATTACCTAGCATACGTTATTTAAAAATGAAGAGCCAACAAACATCAATAACAAACAATGCAATATTTTTCAAATACCTATATACTATACTATATTTCAGAATAAACCATACAAAGCACAAACCTACAGAATTTATAATTTAATAGAGCTAAAAACTCAATATAAGTAGTTGAACTCGTACTTATTGGTAATCAATTTAACCAAGTACTTGTAGGAAGATTTATAATTATTTATTAAACAGCATGACATCACGAAGGTAATAGAAAAAAAACCTAAATTTATTTTGGGTATTTTAAATGATATCCAACTTGCGATTAACAAGTTAACTTCATGAGAACTGGCTAAACACAAAATACAATAGATACCGAGGAACTGAGAATCTGTTTTGGATGATGATTATAATAATATTATGCTAACTATAGAAGATACCGAGATCAAAATCAGACCCCTCGAACAAATTTTCTGTGGGAATCATGATTTAGGTAGAGTATGTTATAAAGGAGAGCGTACACCGCGTAACAACAAAATCCACAACAGATGGAAAATTATACGAGTTGACGACACGTTACCGTTTAACATTAATTACCTGTTAGAGATGTACGTTTTTCGTTTTCACGTTTCCAACGCGGCGGAAGACGGGACAGCGGGGCTTTAAAGCGTACGGACAAATGGCGCCATATTTTTATAACCGCTCTGGCGGCTAGCGGCTGCGTTGCTGGCTGTAACGAGTAAAACGAAGACAAACGGAGACGGTATTCGAACACAAGTTTTGAAATTCGCGCAAAAACACTGTTATCATGAAAAAGCTCGGAAGCTCGGGGGAGAAAAAAAAATCAACAAGAACCGAACGACGACAAGTACCAACAAATTTTATAACCTAAATTTAATCGGAAATCGAAGAAATCCGAATAGAGAATGGGCCCGCGGATGAGAGAGAAAAGCGCGCACTCACGGCAAACTCGCACGCACGCACAGACCAACGCATCACACGCACACACACACACACACAATGTCGCGTCCTTTTTTTTTATATACGTTATAATTTACTTGAAATATTTTCCCGGCCACCACTGAATAGATGCCGCCGCCGCCGATTGACCAACTACCGTAAAACGGTACGCTCTGTGTTTAAGTTGGTGCCTACTTGTTCGCGGCGGGTAGCAACGAGAGGGATGATAAAATATTCCTAGCGATCGGCATAAATAAAAAATTTCAGACCGGTGGCGTGAGCGTGCCGATCGAATTTTAATACTTACTAATCTTGTGTAGGAAGCAATTTTCGTAGATAAAAAATTATTCAAAATTCGTGTTGATACGAAACAGACGTCAAAATGGAGGACGAGGCGGTTGCGGTCGTTGTACATAGGTAGCGCCCGCGAGCGGAATGCTGTTCGCGCCGTCTGACAAGCCCCCATTGGACGGCCGCGGTCACATGACCGCTGCATCGATTCCTGGCCGCCGCCATTTCGTAACGAACCCGCACACGCACGCACGCACACACACTAACGCAAACGTACCGTATATTATATCGGCGTACACGGTCCCGCGCACCGACGCTCACGCAGCACACACGCACACAATGCACATGCGTTACTCCTCCCGCGTCGTTTACCGCCCGCCGTTTCGCTTCGCCTTTGTCAATAATTATTGTCGCGAGGCCCGCGTTTTATATTTTTATTTTTTACAATACATTTTTTTTTTTGCGCTCGTATCCACATGCATATTACTGCAGACGACTGCTATGTAACGATAATAAATACCATTTACTATTATCGTCCGTCTGTTCGGTTTAAAAAAAAAACACCGAAACTGATATATTCAGATAATATTATCATCGTTTACCCTTTGCCCATGTACACGTCATAATCGACATGAACAATATTATAATTTATATTGCTTTATTATTTATTGCAATTATTGCTCACGAGTTGTGATTTTGAATTACTTATTGTGCGTGGACACTGTTTTATGTATTGTATGTACTATTGTATTTCTGGTAGTGTCTGTGACCGCGGATTTGATCGTTTTTACGAAATTCACGACCTTTTAAACCGTTCACGAACGCATTTATAATTATACATGACCCGCGTAGGTACTTTAGTTCAAAACGCGGTAGAGCCCTCCTCCTCGATGATACATTATTATTACACGACGTCGCTACTTGTTGATTTCTATTTTATTTACCATTTTACCATACCCTCATGAATCATGATAATTACGACCGTGGCAAACTCGTTTAATGACTAATGTGCAAGATAATTTTGTGAATCGATAATTCATGAAAAATTACTGCTCAACTGTTATGCAAATTATTAATTATTAAAAGTTAATTCTGAATTCATATGCATAACATCTTATTTAAAAAAATAATAAATTATTGTACCCAAAATTATATTTATCTTTTTTTAAGAACCCTACCATTAATTAAAATGTAAAAGTACTTCCCAATAAATGTATACAATTGTCAATTACCTATACCTCAGCTATAATAATAATTTATGAAAAATGTAATTTAAATTGATTCATCGAAGAAATACTTTTAAGTTTTAACTGATTTTCACTGATCACATTTAAAATTTTTAATTAATATGAAAATATGAAAGACATTACACAAGAAATCAGGATATGATATAAAAGATACATTATTCTTAAATAATTTAATAATAAATAAAAAGTTGTTATACCTATTTAAATAACTAATAATTAATAAAGAAATGTATACTTAGATATTAATGTAAAACAATAATAATAACATCTATGAAATAGATTATTTATTGTAGCATAAGGAATAATTTTAGGATCTCTACGATTAAGCAAGTTGACAATTTTAAAAAGCATACAAATTTGTACATGTTAAATTTTATATAGATTAATATAAAAGATCATTATTATTTATATAAGTTATTAATAAAATTTATACTTCGTTATACATTTTATTTAGAAAATATTTAACATAATTTTGTTTTAAATTTAAGCTTCAGATTGTTTTAATTTTTCTGCAACAATTTCCACTCGTTCGTACAAAGATTTCATATTAGAATTCATTTTAACCATGTTTTGATTAATGTGAGATTCTATAGTTTTAAGAAACTCTTCGTTTTTTTCAATATTTTGAGAATTTTCTGTATGCTGGGCACTCAGGTTACTAATTGTCATCACTAATTTTCCAACTGAAATAAAACATGATTTTCAAATTAATAAGTTAAAATTATTGAGTAGTTACACAATGGTAAATTTAAATTAAGACCACACATCAATATTATTTAATCAAATACTTTGCCCCATTTTAACATCCAAACAATTGTAATATAATTAGTATAATCACCTTTTTGGTGCAGTGATTCTAATGCTACCATCCTTTGTAGAACTTCAGGTAATAAATGTGACTCTTGAGTTGCTTTTAAAATTATTTCATATAGCTCATTTATTTTTTTATCTTTTTCAGGATCTTGAGAATCTAGTTTTGCTGCTGTTTGTTCAAGTTTGGGTAGTAAATTGGAGACTCTAGTATCTACTGCATCCAATTGAGTTGGGTTAAGAACAGATAGCTGCCCTAATAATAGTCGAACAGCCTCAATCAAACCTCCACTTTCACAAACACCTAAACGTTTCTGCAAACATTTGAAATTAAAATTAGAACTCATCAATTGAAACCATTGGTTTATTTATTATGTGTACTCTATCACTGTCAACCATATATTTGTTAACTCCTAAATACTTACAATTTATTGATATATAATTAACACTCACTAGTCAGCAGTTAATTTGAATGTATTTGATTAAAATATATTAATAATTGAAACATTGTAATGAAAAAATTTATTGAAAAGAGATTGTTGATTTAAATAAAAATTGTAACAAAAACATTAAAATGAGGTAACAGAATTTCAATAAGTCTGGTTTGTAAAAATGATTTATAAAAGAAAAATTAAACTTCAAATATGTTAGATATTAAATATCTTAAATATTTAAATCAAAATAAATTATATGGCATGATTAGATTTTAAAATATAAAACAATATCATTACCAGTGTTAAAGCACCAGTTCCAATTGTTGCTTCCAATTTACGCAAACGTTCTTCTAATCGAGAAATTTGAGAAACTTGATCAAGTTGAGCCCTATTAGGTCTTATTAGTGCTTGGAAATTCAAAGCCTCAGAAACACATTCTGATGTAACTTGTGTTTTATCACTGCTTTCTGGTCGTTTATTGAGCAACTCGGTAACAGTTTCTAAATACTTTCTAAAACACATATTTGAACATAATTATTAATCTGAATAAAAAATGTTTATTAAATATTAGTATTTATGGTTAACATTGCAATCGTTTTAAAACAATTAAAAGTATTCTTAAAATGTAAAATGTATGTAAAATGTATATAATGATAAAAAACAAACATTCTAAAAGTTTCACTTAAATTTTTCAGATGGAATATCTTATAAATGAAGCAAATCATTTAAATCATTTTTACCAAGCTATAGTATTTTGATTTTGTTTTGTTTCACACTCTTATATTCAGTTTGCAATAAAAGTTTCAATGATTTTCGAAAGATATTTTCATACCAAAAATAATTCTATGATGTATAATAATAATATTAAATTTATATTAATTACAATTAATTTGACTTTCTCTTCTTCTTATACTCTTCCATTTATACATTCTACAATCAGTCTTAAACACAATATATTCCTCTTCTGTAATTTACAATTTATTTTATTCTGAATATTCTTTAAATAAATTACCATAATAATAATATAATAATTAATTCTATTTTAAATGCTTTCTAAACTTATGCTCAAATATTAAATAATAATAAATGTTTCGATTTAACTAGTAAAATTGTAGAAATAAGGTGAAATAGGTTATTATAGCTTTCAATGTGTGCAACACAAGAATCCTATACTTTAAATTATTGATTTTGTAGTGAATTTGAGCCATATTTAGCCTTCTTATTCTAAAAAAATAAAAATAATAAACTAATTTGTATATTATTTTTAGCAACACTTACTGTAAATTATCAATTTCAGATATTCCTAATTTTCCTAATTGTTGTTCAAAAGACTTCTCTATATTTAATGTAGACAATTTCAGTAAAACATCTTGTACTTGAGACCCTATGTTAGTACATGATTGCTCATCAAGATCATTTTTATTTTCCTGAAAAAAAAAAAAAATATTGATCAATTTAATTAATAGTTATTCCAGTTATTTCTGGGTCAAACATAGTAAAATAGTAATTTTCCCTTCATAGAGAGGACCATCTACATTTTTTTTAAAACAAACACCGTTTTGTTTTAATTTTGGTGTCTATGTGTTTTATATTTTTAGTAATAGAGGGCCCTTAGAGTTATAGATGGTAGGCCCTCTTTTTATTATTATTTATGTTATTTATCAAAAGGTGTATTTCGAGCTTACTTGTTTTAGTTTCAATAATAAATAATGAGGTTTTTATTGTATATATAATCAGATAAAATAAGAAGAAAATAGTAAATTTAATATTTTATGAAATACAGATCGCATAATACTTTTTGTACCATTACATTTAACTCTTTTGTTTCCATTATTTTTTCTATTATATTATAAAATAGCAGATATTAAAATTATAGTTTATTAGGTAAATATTATTGTAATAAAAATAAAAATGTTAATATGTGATTTCAGTAAATGTAATCTAATAAATAATTTAATGACATTTTTCTAAATATATCCTAACATAGAATAATTAAATCAGGTATTATACAAATTATTATAATGTAAAATTCACCTGCAAAGTACTTATTTCTTGAACCAATTCTTCAGTTTCCAACTTCAATCTATAATACTTTTGTAATGGAGTTTCTTTTTCTCCCTGTGCAGCTAATTCCCAAAGTTGGCTTTAAATATTTAAAAATTATCATATTAAATTAAATGTAAACTGGTAAATAAATCTTGGAAATATTTACTTTGAATTATATCCAGTTTTTATCGACCTGCCCAATTTATCAGAAAAGTCTATATTGTCTGAGCTGACAACTTTGTCTTTAAAGTGTTTGTAAGCTTCAGTTGGAACCAATTTGACGCGTTCGATATCTTCATTGTCCTATATTGAATATTAGTGTTATATTAATTACACATTTTTTAATATTGAACTTAGATTTTAATGCATTTGTAATTTGTAGATTGTTTCTGGTTGATTTTTTTTGATATTCTGATAATTTATTGCAAATTTATTGTTTGACACACATAAGTTTTTAAAGTAACCTTTCATGTAGTTCAAATATTTTTACCCACAATCATGAGCAAAAGTCTATTGTTTCCTGATACACATGATAATGCATAATTTTGCTTCTATGTTTAGAAGTTTTGAAAGGCTTCTTTCCCAAAAACAATATTTGTAACTGGTATTGAAACAATACTTTTAAATAATTTAATAATTTTAAAAAATACACATATAACAGACATAATATTAAAGCTTACCTCTTCTGCATAATCAAGTTGTTGGTCATCTTCTGGCAATTCGAAAGTCTCATACACATCAGGTTGGTCATAAGCCTTAAAAAGAAATTATTTATTGTAGGTATAGGCAGTCTTGATATTGAAATAATCAAATTAGTGTAATAAATAGTGACATTTTTATCATAAATTGTACTTAAATTGTAACCCGATAAATGTTCCAAAATGCATGCTTGGATTTTAAATGATACATTTGTTTAAGTGATTAGAATTACTCTACTTCTACATAAGATATTCAAGATGGATGTAACAAATACTACTCATAAGTAGGGCCCGGATTTCAATGCTAAGTCCATCTTTTTTGAGTGATCTTAGACAATGCTTTCCAAGCACATAATTTGTTTTATTTAATACTTCAACAGTAAAAATTTTATTTTTTATTTAGTTTCATATTTGGATGTTTTTCCTTTTTCCGAGCTTATTTTAGTATTTTTTGGTCATTTTGTTAGTTTTAATGAATATTTGTATATTATACAACTTAAGTGACAGATTTGATTTGTCTTCTAGGGGGAGGGACAGCAATATCCTTTGGTCCAAAAATTATACTTTTAACTATTTATCCACTTTGGCCTGGACAGAGGGAAAAATATGAATACAAATGTAAAATTTATAGATGATTATAATTTATAAACTTCTAATCAAATTTCAGTTTTTTTTTTTAATAAATGTTTATAAGATTATTTTAAATCTACTGTACATTTTAAATTAGGTAGCTGTGACTTATAAAACATTGCATTAAAAAAATTAATTTTTTACGGCCATTTTTAGCCATTTTGTAGGCATTTATCAATGGTATTTAGTCCATTTAAATCCGGGAACTACTTATTAGATATAATATTTCGTTTTATGCTTTAACATAGAAAGCCGCATAGTTTTAAAAATCTAATATTTAAATTAATATTAAAATTCTTTATAATTTTGGAGGATACCTTAACTGTAAAGTAGTACACATGTCACGAAATATTATAATTTTATGACCTGTGGGAACTGAAAAACTAATATACTATACTTACAATTCCACTTAAATGAGCGTATTTTGAATCAACAGCCATCTTAATAATTTATTATAAACTTAATTAGTGATTAGGGGCTATTTACACGTATGACGTGAAACTGAAATACGATCTAAGTTATATTTTACAAAGATAATATTGAAAAATAGAAGGACTCGGTCGAAACTCAAATACTCAATACAACAGATTAACAAGCTTACAAGTTACAAGTAGTAAGTACTAACAAACTAACAAAGTAACAACTCACAAATCACAACTCGGTACTCACTACTCACAAGGTTGATGCTTATTGATAGTATACCTAGATATTATAGATAATGAAATAAGTGTTTTTATTATCTTTAATTCGTGATGTGTACAAGGCGTATTGATATCAACGGTATCATTCAGTACACCTTTGGAGGTGCACCACAGATATATAAATTATAAACATACAGTAATAACCAGGGCCTAAAATAAATGAAACTTCGTACTACACTATTTTATAATTTCACATAATTTAATATGAGTTCTCTCTAAAAATAAAATATAAGTTAAATTTTTTTTTTTTTTATTTGAAAATTTAACATAACACCTGTCACCTGTATAGAATAATTAAAAGTACGTATAACTTAAAATTATATTTAAAACAGTATTTTTCCAAGTTCAATATTATTTGTTAAATTATATTTTTCTTTGACTTCTTCAAAAACCCCTTGATACCATTCCTGTTTTATTGCATGTGTATGCATTTTAGAATGTCTTTTTTTTTTGTTTATCCAATTAAAGACAGCTGGTTGAGGATCAAACTCGTCTAAAGCTGACATGTTTGTTTTCACATACAGAGAATCTTTCATTACTGTAGGAGATAAAGAAGATCTTGTTGCAGTTTTTACAGTTTTTCTAACAACAAAACGATCCATAGCACCGTAGTAGTGTACTAGTGTTGTAGACTGTAGTACCTACTATACTAAATAATAATATATTATATTTCGCTAGGTGGACCAGAAGCAGAAAACATTAATTAATAATTTTATTTTGCTGATATTTCATTTATCACAAAATAAGTTTTACTACGTATCTATTTATTTATTATTTATCGACGCCTCAGAGGCATTAGTTTAGTACAGATTATAATAATAGAAATTACATAATAATACAAGGTAAGAAAAAAGTACATTGGTGCACGAATAAAGAATACCTAGGCTAAAGAAAATATTAAGAAGTACAATTTTTTAGTTTTAGAATTAATGATGGCAAAGAATCGTTAAAAATATCAATATTTGACATATTATTGATAGATCGACAAGCACGATCAAGAGGGGCTGCGTAACCATAGTTAGTGGTGTGAAAATTCGTTTTAAAAGTTTGGGGTTTTCTGGAATAAAAAGAAGGAACGGCTAAAGATAATTTAGCAGTAAATCAGGAGCTTCAATATCATTGTTCAATAATTTGTAAATAAAGGTAACATCAAATTCAACACGTTTATCAGTTAGAGATTTAAAAGTATACGGGTTAATCCCGCAACGAAATGTGCTCATTTTTATAAATTTATTTTGTACTTTATTTATTCGATTAATATGTAATTGTTGATGGGGTGACCAAATAATATGACCAAATGTATACATAATTGATAATAATATTATAATATTTTATTCTGTGATAATATCTTAGTTAGTTCATGGAATCATACAACCACTTACCACAGAGTAACAATAAAATAATAATATTTATAGCTTATAAAGTTATAACATTGATTAAATATACATCATGCTATTATTAGTTTTTTCCAATGGCATTATCAATGCATTTTATCACACTCACACACACACACACACACACACACATGTAATTTATCAGTTAATATAACCATAGATTCAAATTCAAATTCAAAACTAAAAAAAAAAATAAAAGTTAATAAAAACCAGTCACAAAGTCTAAATATAACACTAACTACATCTAACTTCACTGGTTGATAGAAGAGCAACTGCTAATCTATCATTTTTACGAAAGCTCTTGGACGGATCAATAGACGCTCCCACTCTTCTCTCCAGTATCAATTTTAAAGTACCACAGCGTTCCCTCCGTTCTTATACAACATTCTCCATCCCAAATTGCTCTACAAACTACGGCCGTAATAATCCTATTTACCGTATGATGCGCATAGCAAATGAACAACCATCATTCCCTACCTAAACTAATCTTATTGTTATAATTGTTATTTACTGTTCTATTAAAAATGTAATTATTAATATTTAAATATTTAAATGTAATTTTATACTTAGTGTACACTTGTAATGTAATTGGGCTCTGCCCGTAATGTTTGAAATAAATAAATAAATAAATAAATAAATAAATAAAATAATCAACACACATTTTCATTTTGTACTGCACTATTCCGATTTCGTATTGCACGAATTTCGTATTGTGTCGTACTGCACACTATTTTAGGCCGTGGTAATAACCACAGATATATATCGGAATTCGGATGTATCTTATGTCATTGTACGCGGGGTTTTTTTTAACGATTATGGAACGATGATATGGAATTTCATTAAAACGGAAAAAGACGTGTTTCTCTATTTTCAACAGCCAATTTTTTTATAACAATTTCAAAATTTTTAAACACTCATGTGTACGAATAGAAAACTCAACTTTTTTTTTTCATATGGCAACCACTATATTTTTTAATGAATAAAGCTTTTTTGTCTGAAAATTTTGATAGTCGAATAATCAATTTTGGCTTCTCTAGTTTATTAACTATGGTCCTCTAAAGATTTTAAAAAAAAGTATAAGTAAAATAATAATGAATACAATATTACAAAGATTTCTTTATAACCGTTTAATTTTTTTATCTTATTGTAAAAAATATTATCACACATATTAATTTGAAAGAATCTAGTACCTACCTTTGGTATCCGATAAATTATGGTATATACTCATATTTTAAAAATAAATTATAAACTAAAAAAAATGTATTATAGTGCTTATATTATTATAATTTAAGGTTCAGGACGATAATTGAGATTTACATGGTGTTAGTCAACCGACAGATGTGTGAGTCGAGTTTTTTCGGACATTTTCAGATTCCATTTTTTTTAGTTTTTTTTCTAAAATATCAATACAATTTTATTTTTTGGTTAAAAAAGCTTGAAAATGTCATAGAAGGCTACTAATATATTGTTACAATAGTAGTTGAAAAATATTAAAAATACATAGGCAACATTTTTTTTAAGTATTCAAATTTCAATTTTTGTCAACATTTATCAAATTTTAAATTTAATAATTATTTTGTAGTTAAAAATATATAAAATGTTCAATTTTTATATCCAAGTATTGAAAATTTAAAACAAGGTTCCACGTAAATAGGTCATAAATAAATTACTTTATTCCCATTAATATCATCAAATAGATACTTAGTTGGGTTAGTAATATACTAATATCATCGTTTTTCTTATACTATGATATTATTATTATATTATTATATCATTGCATTTAAATTTAACACCATCCATTACAGTGATCCACTTGTAACCTAGGATTATGGGCTTCTGAGGTCAGAATTTGCCATGACAAAACCTATAATGCTCACGAAATAATAGATTTTGACTTGAACTATTAACACAAGTTGCAAATCTAACATAGGTATATATACGTACATTTGACGCTCAACTACATATCACGTTTAGCTTTGTTAGTTTAAACATTTTAGTGAATTGACCTATTATGAAAATTTATTGTAAGAACATTATCTGTGTTTGTATATGGGTTTTTACGATAGTTCAATTATTTAGAAAGTTATGCGTACCTATATCATAATATTGCGTAAATTAAAAATGGTCATAAGTAACTTAAAAACTGAATCATCCTATAAAACCCATATATAAACACAGATAATGTTCCTACCATAAATTTTTATAATAGGTCGATTCACTCTAATTTTTAAACTAATGGAGCTAAACGTGAAATGATGAGCGTACATTTAGTATGTTACGCACTTGTAAGACGGAGACAACAAATATTAAAAATAATAAAAAAAACACACATCATTGTATAATTAATATATTCATCGCTCTGCTCAGAATCTAAAATAAAAATACTTATTTAAAGAGACGAACAATTTTACTCTCAGAAGATCACGTTAGTTTAAAAATTGGAGTGAATTGAATTGAATATTGGTATCTAATAAAACTTAAATGTAAGAATGTAAGATTATTATCTAGGCTTATATCATAGGCTTTTTATTATGTTTTAATTTTAAAGCGTGTTATGAGTATTTACTATTTTATGATGTACAATTATATATTAGTATTTGCAAATAAGTAAAGCATACTTTGGGGATTTTTTTTCCGATAACTGGCAGAATATAGCACAATCGCAATGCAATTTCAATATTACTATATAAACTATTCAACTTTTTGTTTCTCAGAATTGTCAATACATTTTGTATTGTTGTGTACTTGGTTTAGCTTGATTTGATTCATTTGATTAGGGAAAAATTCACCAAGTATAACTCATTTTTTGCAATGCTTCCTGAATAAAATATTTTTTTTATTTATGTTGTTTTATTCAGTAGGTAAATATAAAAGTAATAATTAATCCCGTATTTAAATATTTTATATCTGACCACCCTATGTATATTATAATTTATAACTAAGGTTAAAATGGGTATAATCTTTGGCGACGACCCAGACACTCACCTCCTAAAAAATGAACTGTTCCTAGTTTTTGAAACTAGATATATCTCTACTAAATATGTCATGATAATTAGGTGTTTTATGTGATTTTGTGGTCCCACAATATTATAATTGATAAAACGAATGTAAAGGAATTAAGATAAACCGAAAAGTTTCCTTCGGAAAGGTACCTATACTGATGTACAATATTTATAGGTATATACATATATATTACATAATACTTTGTGAGTATTCGTAAAATACATTTTTATAATAGTATTTTAAAAGTATTTTTTACAAAACTGCCATCGACACCATGGAGACACTCTAAAAATATACGAATGGATCTTCGCAGGAAAAAATTTTTTGTGTCCGTATACATATTGCCTACATTTAGCCCCTTTTTTGCAGTTATCAAAATGTGATAACATTGATAAACCGATAACATCATTTTCATTATAAATTATAATATTATATTTTATTATATTAATTATAATTAAAATAGTTAAATACATTAATAGTTAATAAATAATAAGTTATTAAAAAACACAATATCGTAATTTAAAATTTAAAAATACACAATTCATTGAGCATACAGTATAAATGTACAACCTATTTACGTGGAACTACTATTTAAATTTTCAATCTTTAGCTATGAAAGTTAAATTATATAATAAAATTTTAAATTTGATAAATATTTTCAAAATTCGAACTAATACAAAGATAGCAATTGTGTAATGATATTATTATTATTACAGTACACAATTAATATTGTTATAAAAATAATGTTATTATAATAACATAACTATCCAACTAACATAATATTTATTCAGTAATTTAATAATATTATTTTATAGATATTATAATAAAATTATTTTTTATGTATGCTAATAATAATATTATTTAACAAATATAATAATCAAGCTATTATAATAAAGAAAGTATATTATTATAATTATTATGAATCTTGAACATAATTTAATACCCTTTGAATAAAAATCAGTATAGATGGTAGTATAGTATCATATAAAATAAAATAAGCTGCAAAATCGAGCTGGGGCTATAAATGAAGAAAAACAAAAACATATTTTAAAACATTGCAATAAATTTATTGAATTACTTACAAACGAATCAAAACCTATGCAAACTGAAGATATAAATACAATTTACATAAAAAAAAATATTGAAAAATAACCACGTTTCTTTACTAAAAATAAAAAAAATAAACTTGAATTTCATCAATTGTC